CATCTGTACATGGTGATGGGGAATACAATGGCTTGGATTATTCTAACTAAGATCAAAGGTGGCCTTTCTAAACATGGTAAGCGATTGTTGATAGTACCCAAAGCCAGTCTGATTATTTTGGTACCTGAAGCAGACAATCTCACAAGTACAGGTTGAATCTTTCTTATCTAAAATGTTGGAGACCAGGCGTGTTTTGGATTTTGGATTCCCCCTTCCCATATTTTGGAAGATTTGCATATATATAATGAGATATCTTGGAGATGGGACCCAATTCTAAACATGAAATTCATTTATGTTTCATATGCACCTTATAAACATAGCCTAGAAGTAATTTTATACATAATGTTAATAATTTCATGCATGAAACAAAGTTTGTGTACAATGAACCATCACAAAGCAAAGGTGTCACCAGCCATCTATATGGACATTTTTAGATTTTGGAATATTTCAGATTTTGGAATTCCAGAGCGTTGGGTTATAACTTTTGGAGACCAGGATTCAATTCAGACACAGAAACCCTCTGGTTGACCCTGGGTGAGTCACAGACTCCCAGCCCCAGAAAACCCTGTGACAGGTTTGCTATAGGGTCACCATAAGTCAGAAATGGCTTGAAGACACACTACAGTAACAAATTAAATAACTAAAACATTTGCTTCCATTTTCTAACACAAAGGCTGAGGCCCTGTGTCGTCAGCTATAATGACAGTGGTCCATCATCATAGGAGATTATTGCATGCGAAATCCACGCCGTGGTAGACGTGGGTTATAACTGTGAGCAACAGATCTTATTACACTGCCCAGTTCCCAGGAAGTAGGCAGCTCATATCCAATCCGGGCTGCGCTGGTGGCTTTTCAGGAATGGGAAATTTTTAATGCATTTTTGAAGTTTAACAATAACTTAATCTTTGTATGTCCTAAGGAATATAATTTCAAATATAATTCATTACTATCAAAAGGAGATTTATTGACCCTGACCTTTATTTTAATAATCTGATTAATGTATAAAACTAGGTTTTTCAGATTTCTTCATCCAAGAATAGACCTGTAGCAGCTGGCTTGCCAGGATTCCAAATGGTGTCAGACTTGAGCCCATAGACGTCTTGAAAAAGTGGGTGCAATTGCAGTTTTTATTATTACATAGGCTTCAGATGAAGCCTCACTATGAATGCTACCTGGATTTATTACTGTGTAGCCTAAATACCCCAAAGGCACCAGATCCTGTCAGATCTTGTAAGCTAAGCAGGGTGACCCCTGGTTAGTACTTGGATGGGAGACTGCCAATTATATTTCAGAGGAAGGAAAAATCTCTGATTATTTCTTGCTTAAAGGAATCCTATGAAATTCATGGGCTTACCATAAGTCAACAGGTGACAACACACAGTTGTTATCGGGATAGGCATGGTGATCCATTATCTTTTGTTCTCAATAGCATCCTATAATAAGTTTGTTTGTTTGTTTGTTTGTGTGTATGTGTATGTGTGTGTGTGTTGTGTGCCTTTAAGTCTTTTCTAACTTATGGTGACCCTATTATGGGGTTTTCTTGGTAAATTTTGTTCAAATGAGGTTTGCCATTGCCTTCCCCTGAGACTAAGAGTATGTGATAGACCACGGTCACCCAGTGGGTTTTATGGCTGAGCAGAAAATCGAACCCAGGTCTCCAGAGTCATAGTCCAGCACTCAAACCACTACGCCACCTTCTTAAAAGGCAGCAGAAATTAGAATGTGTTGCAACGTGTGGCTTCTCTTCAAAACTTCCAGAGAATAAAGTCAATTATAAATATAGGAAGAACCTCCTGATGGTAAGAGCAATTCAACAGTGGACTGTATGGTTGTGGAAGGTTGTATGCTCTTTTTTATTGGAGATTTTTAAACAGAGGTTACATAGCCATCTCTCAGAGGTACTTTAGCAGTGGATTCCTGCATTGGAAGGCAGGTGAAGCAGTGGTCTTTCTAGTACTTTCCAACTTTATGACCCCATGATTCTGGAGCAGGTGACATTCTCTCCACAGATTTTGACCCCACCACTTTAGAGAGAATCCCCATCCATCCTAACCCCTTGGCTTTCTTACCTTTATAAAACAGACCACTGCAATCCTGTGAACAGCCTTGTAAGGCAGTAGTTCTCAACCTCTGGCACCTCAGATGTTTTTGACTTCAGCCCTCAGAAGCTCTAGCCAGCATGTCAACCCTTTGGGGATTTTGGAAGTTGAAATCCCAAACATCTGGAGGGCCAAAGGTTGAGAATGAATGCCATAAAGCAATTTGGAATGATTTCAATTTTATCTTGCTATAGATGGGTTGGATAGTCTTTAACTTTTAGCCTTGGGCCAGAATCTTCTATGGCAATAATAAATGTGTCATGCACTTGTGACTGTTGTGTAGTCATGATACCTTTGAGGCCTCTAGTTTAGGGGCTACTTCAGGACTGTGAAAGTCACTGAATCCCCATTTACTAGGCAGCAGCTGCTGCAGTCAATGGGGGTCTGTTCCCCTGTTGATTGGGAACTAGCTGACTGATGTTTTTTCCCCTTGCATGAGCCATCTCCAATGTGATGGAAAATTGCAGCAGAGACCTGGATTCTTCATGTCGCCCTAAAGATCACTCACAGGAGGAGGTGGAAATGCCAATGAGCTGCATCCTTAGAGATGGGAGCAGATCCCCATTGGTCTCACAGCTTCTGCCCAGTAAATGGATGCTGGGGGAACCGGGCTGCAATTCACTGCCTTCTGCTTCGTATACATAAATCTCATACACTGGTTACGCAGACGTAAATCCCATACAGGATTCTGGTCCCAGTTCCCTTTTTGGAATCAAGGCTCCTAGAGAAGAGCAGCCATCTAACAAGACTCATATATTTGCAAAGTCCTGTTTAGAGGGGGAGAAGCAGGATATAATTTAGACGTGCAAAAAAAGGGTTGTTTAATTGTGGTCACTTACACAGAACTTTACTCTCCTCTGCTCTCTAAACACAGATAATTACCATGGTAACTCTTGTATTTCAAGGCTCTTACATCTACGCTCACACCTTCCTTAAAGAAACACAAAGCATAACCATGTGGGCTTAAACCTGTAAATCACTTCAGTGGGCTCTTTTATTATTCACTGTTAGACTCCTGTCAGAATTTAACAGAGCACTGGAGACACTAAAAATAATCAGGTTCCTTTCCTCTCTCTTCCCCCAAAATAATTTTTAGATGTTTAGACATACACTTTGACATTTTTCATTTTAAAAAAAAATCAGATGTCATTTTACCATGGGATGCAGAATGATGGATATTCCCCTGCACCATCAGAAGTGAGGAGATTCCTTAGGGAGGGTCAAACATTAGGAACAAAATGTGTCTGAAGAAACCTGGAGCACCTCTTAGCTTCAAATTTAATTTATGAAGACAGTGAGCATCTCAGGAAATCTGGAGGAG